AAAAAAACTAATAGGTAGGTTTAAAATTAATAAATACAAATGTATTCTGACAGTGAATGAGTTAATTATGCTTTCTATTTGCAAAATTCCTCAACCTTAACACAAAATAAGAAAAAAAGTGAATTTTTAAGAAATTTGCGGGATTTCCCGGGATAAGAAAAATTTCCCGGGATATTTCCCGGGTTAAAAAAACAACCGGGATCCCGGGATCCCAGAAACCCTAGTGCGAACGTAGTATAAAACCAGTCTTTGCATTTCTGATTTCTGTGAGAACTAATGCTTTACTCATTACTTCACGCCTGATTCTCTTACGTGTTAGTTAGTTTATCTGTTATTTGAAATTTTAATATAATGCTTCCTCACTTTGCTTTTTATTTTTATTTTTAACCTTATTACTTGTCAGTCTTATTACCTATTACTTATTGTTCTAATTTAATAAAACTTTAATTTAATTGAGTTCAATAATATGCTAATATTGTAGCCTTTCATTTTATTGAAACGATATAATTTATAGACCAATATAACTTATGTTAATTCATTTTCTTATATGGCTATAGTGGCAAACAATATCAAGGTACCAGTAACTGACAATGATTTCATGAATCCTGTTAAAGATTTTTAAACAATCCAGAATCTGTCTGAATTACTATTGATTGTTCGCATGTCAATTTTGTAAGAAATTCGGGGAAAAATTAATGAGGAGTCACGAAAGGATCGTAACTCTCATTGTCTAAGATTAATCAAGTTTAAAAAGAGCAATTCTGGTTGCTTTGAAGAGAGTAAACAATTGCTACTGTTGGCACCGTTCATGACCTAGATTCATTTATAGTATCTTTATCTTTATCTTTATCTTTATTTATTCCCGATACCGCAAGAGCATAATCGGGTTAATTACAGAGATATTTCAAAGCACAGGTAAATACATACATAATAACAGACAGATAACGTACAAACAGTATGACAATTGAAAAGTATGAACAGATGGTAAGATGACCAATATAAATCAACCGATATTATACAAAACGTGAGAGTAGAATAACATGTACGGTAAATTAAAATAGACAATACTAATAGTAATAATAAATATTATACAGATATATGCTGCAGCAGAACAATAATGATATGTATATACAATAATGTGCAAGAAGCAAATGAAAATAATGCCTGATGACTGACTTGACTAACTTAGTGAATGACAGAGCGTATGTGATACATATGAATCAATTTTTTGAATGCTTTGTAGGTGTCACTATCCTTAAGAAGGACATGAAGTTCACATGGCCAGTTAATTCCCCTGTGGCTAAGAGCAAGGGCAAGCTCATGCCTAGCATCCTCGGTCATTGGACACATGTATACATAGTGCTCAACCCCATCACGGCAATTACAGATGGTACAGATGTCCGTTGTAGATTTGCCGAACCTCTGTAAGTAGGCCCGGAATCTCCCATGCCCAGTGAAGAATTGCGTGGTTTCATAGTCCGGACTAACCCAGTGGTTAGAAAGGTGGTCATGAATAGATGGAAAAAAGTTCCTGGCAAGGCCATTGTAACTATCCCATCTCTGCTGCCAGAGATCCAAGCTGTAGTTCCAATGCTGGAGCTTAAGAAAAGAAGCAGGTAGCACTGAATAATTGAAAGGGCCAGAGGTACCGATCGTTGCAGCCTCCCTGGCAAGTAGATCTGCACGTTCATTACCTAGGACACCCTGATGACCTCTCACCCATTCGAGGGAATAGGAGTTCTGAGCACAAGGTATATAGTTTAGAATCTTCCTAACCAGAGGGTGTAGGTTGTTGAGATTCCTAAGTGC